AGAAGAGCACCAATGCAGTAAGAAGAGGAAGCAGCTTATCCTGGGCTAACTGCTGAGGAGTCCATCTGAGCTCCTCCTTTCAGCATCCACAAATCCTTTTGTAGAGATGGCAGTATCTCCTGCATTACTTTACGTTTTTCAGGAATGGCCAATTTTATTCAGCTCTGCAGTTACTCAGACTACAATTTAACCTGGTCCAGAATTCAGATTGCTGTCATCACTGCCTTGTTTTTCCTCTTCTTAGCAGAGGATACAGCAGCCAATGATTACAGGCTGTACTGAATGGCAGACATCTCCGCTGCAGCAACTTGGAAGAGTTTTTGCTGCAACAGGAAGATAATAACGTCCTTTGAGGGCTCCCTTCTGCATCATTTCAGTGATTGGTTCTGCAGTTTGGATTTGCAGCAATGCGCAGAATTTGCTGGTTTAGCTCTGGGCAAGCGCTCCTGCAAGTCACTCTTTTAGCAAATGCAGAGACACTGTGTGGTTGCATCCTGACTTGCGCAGAGCAGCTCAGAGAATTTAATGTAAATCCAATGTCATCCAGTCTAACTGAAACCTCATTTTGCTGTCAGAGATGCTGTTGAGAGCCTGCTACAGTGCTACGCTGCTCTGTGCCCTGGCTCTGTAGCCAGCAAGACCGGAGTGTGACTGCAGCGGCAAGCCCTCGCTCCAAATTACAAGCCTCAGAGGAATAAACCCAGTTTAAGAAATGCTCCCCCTTATTTACTTTACCTAATTATCCTTTACAGTTTAGTGCATTTTCAGTTACACAGATTAAGATGATTAAGCCAGACTCACAAATTGCACGTGGATGAACCAGAGCTTTGTAAATCTGTAGAGTTCAGAGAGCTGAAAGTAAATAGCTTCCAGGAGGTGCTCATGCCCAGCCCCACAGCACTTTAGAGCTTGTGGTAGGTCCCAGGATGCCCATCCTCAGCTCCTGGCTGCTGCATGCTTCTTGAGGGTATTGAACATGACCACATCCAGCCACCACTCTTTGGTCCTTCACTGTGAGGACACCTCCTGAAGCAAGAAATAGGGAGGATAACCACTGAGAAAAGAGCTGAATTCTCTCCATATTCCCATCCATACAGCTCTTCTTCACGAAGGTCACGGGTTCGATTCCTGTTCGGTCCCCATGTGTTGCCTGATCTAGTTGAGAGGTGTCCCTGCCCATGACAGGGAGGTTGGATTAGATGATCTCTAAGGTCCCTTGCAGCCTAGGCCATTCTATGATTCTATGATTCTTCTGCTTCTCCACAAGCTGTCCCCCAAGCTAAGCCATCTGTGCTCAGTATCAGAGCCCAGAGACCTGTATGGGCCAGACCAGCCCAGTTCTGTCGATTAGCTGGGACCACTGACTTTCACATGGCAAGAACATAAATGAGGCAACAGACAGGTCTTAGAGCACTTAAAATGCAGTCTGCAAACAAAATGTGACTCAACTCTAATTACAGCAGTTACCTCTTCGCTGTAATTTATCATTCATTTATAGTGATGCAGATAAGGTATTTAGGTAATAAAAAGTCTGGTGTACTGTGAAGACAGATGCCAGCAAGACAATTTAAATAGCAGGTGCTCCAAGAACTTGTGAAAGACTAGGTGAAATGTCAGATAACTTGATTTGTCTTTTTTATAGTAAATTTAGAAAAGTGGTTTGTTTAGGCAGCCTTAGTGGTTGACACACGCCAGTCCAAGGCAGAGTTTTCATTATTTATATTAACGTGGGGCTCCGCTCCACGCAAGTAAAGACTATGCGAAACAGTCCAAATACAAACTTGTACTTAATCATCTCTTGATGCTACTTAAAAGCAAGATGTTGAATACAAGTGACAGCGGCACAAAGCAGAGACTGCAAAAGCATGGGCTGTCACAGACAAGCTTTTGTCACTCAGGCCCCTGTAGCTTAAGAAGTGCTGACGCATGGATCCAGGCTGTTCTTAATGAGCTCTTCCCTAGGAAGCAACCTCTGGCAGGGCCAACGACTGAGAAGGCCAAACACCTCCCCTGCTCCAGTCCAAATCTTGCATTTTGGTGAAACCAACAAAGTGGCAGAAATGACAGGATCTCAAGAATGGATGATGGAGGGAAGAAGTCGCCAAACATCAGTTCAGGTACATGGATAGATGCCTTCATGTGAATACTGCAAAATCAGCTTTACAGTGTCAGGGAAATGCAAGGTAGAAATATTTAATTTCCACATTTGGGAAAATACAGAGATGGACCAAGTTTCACAGACTTCATTCACCAACTCATCTACTAGATGAGTGGGTAAGGAAATAAAATAGATTTGCTTCCAGCTATGGCAGACAGTTCAAAAAGGAGAACACGTTTGAGCCTGACTGCTCAGCACCTTATAAAACTTTGTACTGAAATATGTCTCCAAGCCACAGAGATTTTAGTAGCCATACTGGAATGCATACTGGATTTTACATGAAATCTACACAGGAAAAATGATGCCTCAAACATGGAAACATGTTTGTCCATTAACCCAGTGTGTTCAAGGCTTAGACAAAGCCTTAAAAAACTGGGATTTGCAGAGCTCGGCATTACATCTCAAATGATTGTTGAGAAGCACTTGACTGGCACAGGAACACCTTGCTGGGTGGGACAGTTCTGTAACGCGGAGGTAAAAAGTAGAATTAAAAATTAATTGTAGTCGAGAGTTCAAAACCCAGTGACCTCATTGTGTGAGTATGCGGCATTCATGAAAGTGCCTGCGGGCTGAATAAACTCCAATTAAAAAATAACTTGGCCTAAGTATCTTTGATACCAAGCCACCTCCACGCTGAGGGAAGCACTCTGCAAAGGAGGAGGAAACAAGCAATAAAGCTCTCCAAAGAGCGAGCATAAAGAGACCATACTACTCTCTCTGTTTTGTAGCCACTCTGAGTACCACAGCTTTAGGGTTGTGTATGGCATGGGGAGCCAGTGTGGAAAAAGAGAGGACAGAGTTTACACCCCTTGCATAGTAGAACAGAAGCAAACCCTGCCCTGCACAGCTCCTGCTTCCAACCCACAGCTACCGCCTCCAAAAACTTTACTTTTTTTGATCAGAAGAGAGGTCTAGAAGCAGCTGCACCATCTGGGTGACTGTGGTTGTTTTGCCATGCACAGGGGCTCCAGGCGGAGCTCACAGCCTAGGGAGGGGGCTACAGTCCCTTGCTGCCACCCCAGCAGCCAAGGAGTCCATCCCCTGGCCACCACATCCAGCTCTCGCAGGGCTCCATCCCACACCATCCACCTGCCCACTACGCACACCCCAAGCTGCCACCAGCGCACACCCCGTATTTTAGACAACTTGAAGCGAGCACTAAAAGGCACTCAAAATTAACCTAAAATATGTTACAATACAAAGAGAAAATTTAAATTGCATGTTAGACAATAACAGAATGTGGTGTTAAAACTAAAAACACAGCAACTTTTATCCACCCAGTGTACACGTTCATTTAAAAACTAGACTGGTTTTTCAGGAGCCAAGGGGAGGGACCAGCTGAATTTCTCTTGGGTTGTGATGCCAGATCACCACTAGATGGTAGATGAGCAGCATCCATTCTACCTCCTGTTTTATTCCCGAGTTAAAATACTGACATCCATCCACACTTGGGCTCTCTGGCAATGTGAAAGCATCTCATTGCACACACTCTTAAGTGAGAGTTTTGTAAAAGATGGATGGCTGAGGCAATTTTAGGTCTTCAGAAGAGGAATAACCCCAGAGCCCCAACGCTTACACACATCGGGTTTATTTTCCCAATCCTTCCATCGCTGTAAGCACTACAGTAAACAAACTCACTTTTCTCCAGCAGGAGGACAATATTGATAAGCTCTGTAACCATTTACAGTTACTTTGCAAAAACCATGCCAGGCTTTTAAAACTAAGACAGCTTTACACACATTGTAAGACTTTACAACATGACAGGCTGAAGTTTGCACAGTTCCAACACCTGCCTTTGTCTATCTCATACCTAAGGTATAAGATACTTCTAGTCAAACTGAGATGGTTTAAAAGATTTGTCAGCTTTATTTTGTAAATGGCACACATACTCATATAGATCCACAGGGATTTTTGCCCTGGTGTATTTTTTCCCATGAGCAGCAAAGCTTTCTCTGCTGCCTCACCCTGAGTAGCTCCCAATCACACTATGGCGTACCGCTGGGGCTGAGGTGAGCCACCCTGTTTCAGAGGTTGCAGGATACGTCCTACAGCTCTTCACCAACACTGCCAAATCCCTGCAACTGCTCCAGTGCCAACTCACACAGTGCTTTAGGTCAGGGCACGGGGTTATTACGCAAACTCACCTCAGAGGTGCTGCAATACATCTATCTACCCATCTGCTGAGAGTACGAAAACATGCATCAGGGGCAGGGAAATGCTGGTTGTCTTCACTAAAACATTAGCAGCAACGCACAGCCCAGCATCTAAAATACTGCACCTTGAGTTTTGCAGGCAAAAATATAACCAGTTTACCCTCAACGTGGCCAAGACCGCACAGTGAAAAATATCTGCTACAGTTGAATGCTTAATCCTCTATACTTGACATTTCACGCCACACTGCTCTACAAACATTATCATGTTCTGCAAGGCTTTCACAGGCAAAGTGTTTAACACAGAATCAACGCTACAGACTCTTGAGAGACCTTTCAGCCTGGAAGGAAACACAGTCAGACCCTGCTTAGGCTGGTAAAATCTGACAAGACCACATGACAAGATGGTGTATCTGCAGGGTGCAATAAGCTGCCCTTGGAAACATACATGAATAGCTTTGCTGCCAAAACTTTCTTTGATATTAATGCACAAGGAAAAAATAACTTGACATTGGCATCCAAAGAGAATATATTAAAGGAAATAATTGCTGACAGCATATTTTAGCAATAACAAGCTGCAATAGCCATTAGTATTCAGGTTACTTTGCATTGTTTGCATTGTTTTGCTTAAATAAAAACAAAACCTGACAGATGTATACACAGTTTCTAAAGGATTTTGCTTTCTTTCTTACCTCTTCCTTTTTCTCTTCAGCACTAGAGGCTAAATTGAGGCTCAGCTGAGAGTGGCTGCTTATGCCACTGTCTTCATTTCCATCATCACAGTACACAGTTTGCACCGAGTCCTGGAAGCAAACAGGATTCCTGCCCAGCTTCAGCCCCTCGACTCTCTCCTCGCTCTCTGATGAGCTCAGTGACAGCGTGCTGTGACGGTTTGGGCACTGAAAGTTCATATTGCACTTGACCTTCTCTGCGGTGGGACTTTTAGGCTTTGGAGTAGTTGGCCTGACTGGAACATGAGCAGTTTCAACTTCACATGTAAACTGCTGGCTAGCTTTTGGCTCATCTGAATCCGAATAAAACACTTCATTGGGAAAGGGACTAATGTCATTCAGCGTGGGTGATAAACTGTCAGAGTCTGGGATACCCGATGACGTCCTGAGGCTTTTGTCTTCAGCAAGGACTACACTCATTTCAGCCTCTTTATCCTGAGCAACTGTGGGGCTTTGCAGACAAGGTGTTCCTGGAAAAGAAGCATCTGGACTAGACACTGGAGAGGCGCATCTTTTTCTGTCATGATCTGTGCTGCTGGAAACCCTGCGGGAGTAGTCATCATGCAGTCTGCTGTTTGACCTTGTTCTGTGGGACTCACTGGGAGAAGGAGCCGTGCTCTTAGGGCCATCCTTCTTCCATGCAACATCTGTAACATTACTGACAAGTTTCAAAACTCGGTCAAAATCCTTTGCCCTGATAGGGCTCTTCCATCGCTTGGATCTCCTCTCCGGGTTCCCACCACTTTTGTCCGAGTCAGCAGAAGTAACACTCACAGTCCTCGCTGGCATCTGTTTTTCATTTTCAACCTTGAGGTCGGTGAGGTTTGAGGTTGACTTCCGTTTGAACGAGCTTTTTTTCAGAAAGTTCAAATTATCCGAACTTTTGCTTCTCCGATAAACGATCCTGTTGTTTTCAGAGTCTTTCACCAAAATTTCACAGATCTTTGGCTCAGTGATGACAGGAGATGTTGGCCTAGTACAGTTTTGATGACTCTGAACTTTATCGGTGTCTAGCAAGTTTATGCGGCCAGCACCGTAAGCCCGCCTGATGCTGCGTGAGCGATGAGTATTCCTCAGGAAAGACTCATCGCTCTCCTCTGCATCAGAGCAGTCAGAAGCTAAACCCTCCACTGAGTTCTGGAAATCATGTAGAGGCCCCGAATAGGAATACCTGTTAGTCTGAACTCGCATCACTGCCCCGTTTGAACCATGTTTGCCTACACCATTCTCATTTAAGATGTCTGGGCATTCCCTCGTTTGACTTCCTTGGAGAACTGAAGATTTCAGCTTCTTGAAAGATCCCATTTTTCTGATGGAAGACAAAGCATTCCATGTGGACGAGTTGCCCATCAAAACCAGAGAACGAGGCCTGTCAGAGCTGGAATTAGCCCGTTTCCGAGGGGTGGTGAAAAAGCGCATGATTTTGGAGGGGCTCAGTTTATCCTCTTGAATTTCCTCATGACTGTTGCTGGTGCTGTAGTCCCCATTATGGCTGACACAGGTAGTCTGGTTTTGGGGCTCTTTATTATCCATAACTATACAAGTAACAGTGGCGCCATTGCCACAGCCATTCGGAAACGTCGTCATGCTTTCGATGCTGTACGCATGGAGATGGAGGCCAGGGTAGCTCAGAACAACACTGCCGTCTCCGCCAGCTGACCTCACTGTCTCTCCTTCATCTGCTGCACCTTGGTTTGTCTTACTTTCACATGCACTGGGTGAGCTGAGCTCCTCAGGGTGCACTGCCTGCATCAGGAAAACAAAGGCAACCGTTAGAGAAATTTCCTTACAAAGTCCCCAACTAAGGAAGTTTGAGCCCCATTGCAGGAAATGAAGACATGCACAAAACGAAGTTCTTTTTCACCAAACAAGAGTGTGATGCACGCTGAAGAGAAGGCATTCATCAAAGTTTAATTGCATTCATTAGCAATTTAAGAGACCAGAATAATTTCAATATATACTTGTTTCTCTAATGCTTAATAAGCTCTCAAGTTCAGTATGACTACCACACCTACCTTACAACACTGAACAGAATCCACACACACACTTAGAGAGAGACCGCAACACCAGCAGTCCAGTCTTCCTCCTCACAGCGCTCAGTGCTGAGCCCTGGGACACTCAAGAAGTTTTCATTCAAAAAACCAAGCACGTCCATCAAGTGTCACCTAATCCTCAAACACCAAGCAAAGAAGAGGAAAACTTGCATATTTTTTCCTATACTTGCTGCCAACAGAAGGCTGTATGACACTCTACTGTCTTGTCTGTTCCCTAGCAGGTAAGCCTACAAGTTATGTAAAATGCACAGCAAAGTCTTTTTCCCAAAGAAAGAAAGATTCAGCAGTACACAACGCCAGAAGCCAGCCTATGCTGTCACGGCAGCATGATGAAAATTTGAATTTGGTAGTGACTGGAGTCTCTGTGACTGGGACCTGCTGTATTAGGGATCTCCCCCTGAGCTCAGTATGGGAGATCTAGCAGCCCAAACCACGCTTCGGTGCTTGGGAAACCACTGGGACGCCCAGCCTGGCACTGGCACGATCTCTAAAACAAAGGTCACGGCACGGTTCTCTCTGCAAGGGCCAGTGGGATCTTTGCGTATCTGTCACTGCTTGTGAGGGGGGAAGAATTCCCCACACTCCGAGAAACGAAGAGAGAGAACTGCAGGGCAGTGCCTGAGGGAGAGAGGTAGCCCTGGCCCCTTCTTTGTCTCCTTCCCAGCCCAGTGGCCGCGGGGACTCCGAGGGCCAGCGGGGCTGGGGGCGGGGCAGCCCCCAG